CAGGGGAAGAAGGCTCAATGGGGGCCAATTTCGAGGCCCAGATGGTTCTGCCCAGATGGAAGAAGGGGAGGTCAGGGCAGCTCTTGGGCCAGAATACTCCACACTTCCCCCAGAGCATCCTGGCCCATGCAGACAGGACCTAATTTTATATGGCATAAGCTTTCCTGGGCCTGAAACCTCTTAGCAGTCCCAGCTAGAGTAGACCCACTGAATCTGTTACTGAACGCTGAGTCAACACTTACATAAATCCCATTGATTTGATGACTCTACTCAAGTTCAGACTGCCAAGAATATCCAGACCCTAGAGCACAACCCACTTAATCTGCTGCCCAAGAGTTCTGGAATGGTAGAGAGATTAAAGGTGAATTGTTGATGCTATGGACATTGGCCAATACAATGTCCATAGTGGTTTTCCCAAGCTAAGCTATGCTAGAAGACCTGGTTGTTTGGATCTCTTTACTTTACAGACCTTATGCCAGAGTGGAATCATAAAAAGTTGTGTGTGGATGAGAAATAACATTTACCCAAACAGCCCTTTTCTCCACTCCTGAGTCATTACATTTGTCTTCTCTCTCAGATATTATCTTGACCAGGCTAACATGGCCATATAGGTAGACTGGGGTTCCCTGTGTTCTCTCGGTGTCTCTCAAATGATGTTCTCTACCTGCTGTCTCATTGTTGTTACTGATGCCATTGTCAGAGGCAGGGAAAAACTCCTGGTCATATCTGCAGGCAAAGGCTTTGTAAAAGTTCAATTCAATGTTGACAGTTGTGCAGAAAGAAAAAAAGAGAGGGAGAACCTAGCTGTGAACTCTGCTGATAAAATCTTGGCCTTCTGATGCTTCATCAGTTTCCACTACTAGAGCTGTGCATGCTCTCAGAACCCGAAAGAACTGTCTGGAGAAAAATCAAATTTTTTCATCACATTAGCTCCAAGATCCACACCACAAATATTTTGACTAAATAGGTTTGCTCTTCTAAGCTTACATGGAAGCTCGTTTCATTTCAATCAGTGGAATTTACTTTTTTTTTTTAAATTAAACTAAAGGCCTTTGCAGACTGCCAGAAATAGTGCACATTAAATTGAGTCACTGCCCTGGCTCAGGGCTAAGGAATCATGGGAACTGTAATTTATTGTGACACCAGAGCTCTCTGACAGAGAAGGCTCAATGTCTCAGAAAAAAAATACAATTCCCATGACTCCCTAGCACTGAGCCAGGACAGTGCCTCAATTTAATGTGCACTATTTCTGGCAGTCTGCAAAGGCCCTAATTCTCACAAGGGTAGGTCAAGGGCCTAGGCTAGTGGTTCCCAACATTTGGTCCTCACTTTGTTTTGGACTTCAGCTCCCAGAATCCCTAGCCAACCTGGCCAACAGTCAGGAATTTTGGGAGCTGAAGATCAAATCATCAAGAGGACCAAATTTGGAAACCATTGGTAGGCCATGGAGGCTGGTGGCTTCCATGTCAGAGTGGTGGTGAACCTCCTTCACATTTTATTCTGAACTTTCCAAGGAGCTCACCAAGCTGATAAATCCAACGTGTTGGATAGCTCCTGTAAAGTTCAGATTAAAATCTGGAATGGAGACATCCTGTCACTGACATGGAAGCCATCCATCACCACTAGATCCAAGGCAGAATGTGTGAGATATATAATTTCTCCCCAGCAGAAGGCACTGTATGTATCATTTTCCCCCAACAAAAAGCCCTGTTCAGGGTCTTAAGAAGAACAGTTGTGAATTGGGAATGCTGTTACTGTTTGCCAGCATTTGCTTCTAGAAGTGGTCACCTCATTTTATTTAATGTTGGGGCCCAGCCCATACTGTTTGGGGTGCACAAGCATTTTTTCAAAGGTTGGGAAATGAAGCTTTTTGGGTATCAGTCCATGCTGTATAAAAAGACTTGCCTAATCCAATGATTTCCCAAGCTTTGCTTGAGACTGCTTTTTCCTGTCCTAGGATCACAACTCATTGGCTTGAGAAATATTCCAGGGTATTGGGAATATGTTCCAAGCATCTGACAATTCTCTTCTTGTATTGGAGTCTTTCCTCACTGAAGCCAGAATATTGCTGAACTGGGGAACAGTCAGCAGTGTTGAGGGCTCAGCCCCAACCATCAGATGAATTTCAAGTAAAGAGGTCCAAATCAAGGGGCATCACACCAAGGTTCATGCATGGGAGCGGTTTCTAGCAGGGGAGTCAGGCTTGAAGAAGGGCAAGGTAGCACACTTCAGGCAACTTTGGAGAACCTTACTGTGTGTATAGTACACATGCATAGATGCATGCTGTGAATTCATATTTGATAATGGCTGTCATCCTGTTGGTGTCCTACACATGTGTAATTTTCCTTATATATGCAGTGGTAAGTTTTTTTATGCATACTGTGCAATGGGCATAATCACTTCAAGGTTGCATCAGTGGAATTCCATAAGTGCAACCATTTCACATGGTCCTAATTCATGTTGTTCACCCTGAATCTACTGGAGTGTGGCGGAGTCTCCTTCTTTGGAGGTTTTTAAACAGAGGCTGGATGACCATCTGTCCTCAGCTTACTTTCATTCCTGCAAATAGAGTTCAGAGTGCAAGAGGAATTTGCACTTAATTAACTCAGCAAGAGGGAGAGGAGAGAAGGGCCAGAATTTTACTCTTCCCTGTAGACTTAGGCAAAACCAAGTGGCTACAGCCTCGCCTGGCTTGTGGGTTCTGACTTTTGCCATCTTGACCACTCTGCAGTGTTGCTCAGTCATAGGAGTCCCAGTTTTCATGCGTAAAATGTGGCAATGCATACAGATCCACAGATTCTAAAGGATTCTCATTACTGTCACTTACCATTCTGGATTGACATTAGCAACTAGATTTAGAGCTATGGGCCTTAACTTGGAGCTTCAAGGAGCAAAATTTCATTGGACAGCCAAGTTTGAGGAGTTTATCTCACAGGAGGCTAAGTGGCTAAATCACATGAAGAAATAGGATTTAAATTCCAGAAAAATCAGATGTATCGGGGTCATTGAGCATTACATAAAATCATAGAATCAGAGAGTTAGAAGAGACCACAAGGGCCATCCAGTCCAACCCCCTGCCAGGCAGGAACTCAAAATCAATCCTGATTTTCCTGAAAGTAAAAAGCGGCCGATTTTGTCCACTTTCTGTGCAGCTTAATGTTGCATTAATACTCAATGCCCCTGATGTCATCTGAAAACGATCCCGCTTTTGTGGGATTTTTCCAGATTTTGTCCACTTTTTGTGCAGTTGTCATCTGAAAACAATCCCACTTTGTGGGATTTTCCCAGATTCAAATCCCGTATCTGCGTGGGATTTGACCATGTGATAAACTTCTAAGATTGTTTACAAGGAAGGAATTGATGTTATAATCTGAGTTTCTGAACATGTGTGGAGAGGGATTGCATAACCAGGGAGAGGAGGCATAGAATCAGGGTTGCATACAAGCATGTGATGTCACCAGTTGAGGGCATGCTATAAAATTCCCTAAAATGTCCTGATTTAGTTTCCAGGCATTGTGGTTTATTATAATTATTATTTATTATTATATTTTCATTTGAAAATAAAGAGCCCCTCCTTCTTCCAATAAGGAGTGGGAGCCCCCATGAAAATGCTAATTGTGTCATGGCCTACAGATATGTTGCTTCAGCTTTTCTGTTACATATTATGCCACAGTGGAGTTCAGTTAATTTTATGGTTCATTATTTTAATATAAAAGGGAAAGGCACGTGGCATTCCTCACTTGTGATGTGCAGTGCTCAGTTGGAAGCGGGGGAAATGAGGAGTATCTGGGTAATGCGTACATTTGAAAAATAGGAGAATGTCCATGTTTGAGAAACCACATTGTCTCTGTTGGGGATGAGTTAGGAATCTGTTCTGTTGAATCCCCTCTCCTAATTTATCTGATCCAGTCCACCCAGAAATGGAAAGTGATTGAACATACTTTCCCTTCAGAAATCTATGCATTCTAAGACATTCAATGCGGGGAAAACTGTGTCCTAAACAATGTGCAACTTTGAAAGGTGTGCATGGGGAAAAAATGAAAAGAACCATTTTACCTCAATGGATGCATAAATGCAAACACTCCACACCACTTGGAAAGAAATGTGCACTAAGAGTGTGCACTTTTTAAAAATGATGTTATTTGCCCTCAAGTCAGCTTTGACTTATGGTCACCTTGGGTCCAATTTAGGAGAAAGGTGACATATAAATAAAATAAATAAATATAGAGGCCTTATGAAGGCGAGATGGGATACAGTGGCTTAAGTGGTTAAGATGCTGACTTTGTTAATAATAATAATAATAATAATAATAATAATAATAATAATAATAATAATAATTTATTTATTTATTTATTTATTTATTTATTTATTTATATACCGCCCCTCTGCAGAGCAATCGGGGCAGCTCACAACATTAAAATTTCCATGATTTTAAGATCGGCAGGTTGACAGTTCAAGGCCCGGGTGCTGCATGATGGGTGAGCTCCTGTCACAAGTCCCAGCT